CTACGGCCCAGCAACAAGACAGAGTTATCTGGAGCAGAGAGGCCTACCTCTAGCCCATCCCCAACTCGACTGCTGGTGAGGGAAGGTAAATCTCCATCTTCCTTAAATCGCTGTTACCTTGTCTGTGTTAAAGTGGTTACAAAATTTCTGGTTCTTTTTCATACTGCCTCTCAAAGATTCATTTAGTCATGAGATCATATTTTCCTAGCACCAACTCATCCTCAACTGTTTTAATAAATGTAAACTCTTTGATTTCAAAACAAAGAGTCAGACCAACTTTTAAACCAACCTTTGACTATGGCAGAAGACAAGTGGTGCTTTTGGTGGGACGTTGGCTACAGGTGACCACACCTGAGGGGACTTCCCACACTGTCAAGCACTAACAAGGATGTAAAACAATGGCACTTCAACAACAATTTAAGAAATTATAAAAATAATAAATAGACTCTATTTAAAAGTCATTGACTTAACCCAGACTTTATATATAAAAATTATCTGTGAAATGTACTGTATTTTGAAACATAATTACTCATTAAAATGAAAAAAAAACCCTCTGGTTTTTAATGTCTATAAATAGCTATTTTCTTAATATGAGATATTACTAATTTTAGACTTACAGAAATTTTAAAAATAGGTAAAATAATTTACTTTAAAAGTTTAGTTTGGATGATTTGGTGATGGGAAACCCAAGGGGATTGCAACTGAGATGGAAAAATGCATAAAAATATGTAAAAATAAACTATTATAAAATTTAAAAAAAGTTTATTTTAATATGTTGAGTTGCTTCTGGATTCCATTCAGCTACCAAATGTTGACTATCCACCCATGAAGGGTGCCATTGAGGAAATAAGAGAAGCTAAGTGTCTGCCTTGTAATTTAATATGGTGTGTATGGTAGAGGGGGTGGGCAAAGGTGGCTGTATTATAACAGAAGTAAAAAATCAATGTCTAGTATAGTAGAAAACAAGAGTGAGAGATTCCATTGGGGGCACTCAATCCACTTAGAACTCAGTGGTATAAGCAAAGAACTGAACTCCATTCTGAGGAATCAAAAGCCTGTAAGATACACTCTTTGTATCTTTATGAGAGAGATAACATCAAAGAAATAGAAAAAATGTTGATTAGATTAATATGGAAAAACAAAAGACCTCAAATAGCCAAAACCCTCATGTCTAAGAAAAATCAAAATGGAGGCATTACAATCCCAAACTTCAAGCTATAATACAAAGCCATAATAGTCAAAACTGCATGGTACTGGAATAAGAATAGACATACAGACCAGTGGATTCTAATAGAAAACCCAGATATAAACCCACAAGTTTATGGACACCTAATTTTTGACAAAGGAACAAAGAAGATACAATGGAACAAAGAAAATTTGTTCAGCAAATGCTGCTGGGAAAACTGAGAAGCTACATGCAAAAAAAAAAATGAAACTAGATCACTGCCTCACTCCAGTGGAATGAGGTAGATTAAAGACCTAGACATAAGAACGGAAACCATAAAATACCTGGAAGCAAAGATGGGTCAAACACTACACGACATACACTTCAATGACATCTTTAAAGATAGAGCACCCAATGCCACAATAGTGAAGGCAAGGATAAATAGATGGGACTACATCAAGTTAAAGAGCTTCTGTACAGCAAAAGAGACATTACAAAAAACAGACAGCCTATTAATTGGGAAAACATTTTCTCACACAAAAGTAGTGATAAAGGACTGATCACAAAAATATATGGAGAACTGACAAAACTCAACAAAAATAAAGTAAATAACCCCATCAAAAAATGGGCAGAAGAGCTAAAAAGACACTTCTCCAAGAGCTAAAAAGACACTTCTCCAAAGAGGAAATGCAGATGGCCAACAAGCATATGAAAAAATGTTCAACATCACTCGTAATAAGGGAGATGCAAATTAAAACAATGAGATACCACCTCACCCCAGTGAGAATGGCACATCTTCAAACAACTACCAACAACAAATGTTGGCAAGGATGTGGAGAAAAAGGAACTCTCCTGCACTGCTGGTGGGAATGCAAACTAGTATAACCACTATGGAAAACTGTTTGAAGGTTCCTCAAACTGCTTAACATGGAGCTTCCCTATGACCCAGCAATCCCACTCCTAGGTATCTATCCAAAAGACACAAAAACACTGATTGAAAAAGATACCTGCACCCCCATGTTTATTGCTGCTTTATTTACAGTTGGAAAAACATGGAAGCAGCCCAAATGCCCAAAAGTAGATGACTGGATTAAAAAGATGTGGTACATATATACAATGGAATATTACTCAGCAATCAATAAAAAGAAACACATGTCTTTTGCAGCAACTTGGATGGAGCTAGAAAAGATCATGCTTAGTGAGATAAGCCAGAAAAAGAAAGAAAAGTACCGGATGGTTTCGCTCATAGCAGGAGTATAATGGACCAGGTGAGAAAATAATAAGAATAATGAACAGCCATATACCAGAGACATTTTGTGGGGGTGGAGTGGGGAATGGGATCAAAAACAGGGGGGTGGGGAGGGAAGTGCACGGGACTATGGCACACGGGTGACTCGGTGATGGGAAACCCACGGGGATTACAATTGAGATTAAAAAAAATGTACAAAATAATGTAAAAACAAACTATTATATTATTTTTTAAAAAGGAGTAAATTTAAAAAATAAAATAAAAAAAGAGAGAGAGTTAACAATCACTAAAGATAGAAAGTGAAAAGCATATATCAGACGGTTGTGCAAAACACAGAAGTGGCACCAGAGGACGTGATTTGCCCAGCAGCTCTCACACAGAGCTTGACAAGAAGATGAGGTCAGACATGTGCAAAATCGCAGAGGCATGGCAACCCCAGGAACCCTAAAAATCTTGAAATGGCTGGCAGACAAAGTGCAAGGCCTGAAGTAGTGGGAAATGAACTGGGGTCCAGACATCAGAGCCTTTGTTAACAAGTCATGCTGCAACTGTCTTGGCAAAGGTAATGAGCACTGCTCTGCCGGAACCATGGCCTCTCAGCTGCCTGCCATCCTGCCTCGACTCTGAGAGACACGGAGAAGCTACAACCACCCCACAGTCTCCTTCCTAAATACAAAAGCAACTTCGGTTTAGGTCAAACCTGCATCCATCTCTTTCCAGAAACTAAAACCAGTGTTCGGCCCCTGGAGGCACCACCCCAGGTCCTCCCAAAGGAGCAGATGCCACAGCCCCTAATGGCACTCTCCCAGGGCTCATTTTTCCTAAGGGCAAGAAGAGGAGGAGGGGCATTTTGTAATTAATATTGTTTATAATTGATACTTTAAAATAATTCTTATTGTTTCATACCTAAATTTCCACATGCCTTATCCCCAACTCTAAATCAAGTATTGAGAGCACTGTCCTGTGCATCCCTCTCGGTGGTGCCTGGAAAGCCACTCTTTCTAGAAGAGCAAAGGCAGGCTGAGCGTCAGTCCTGAGTAGCCATCTGCACAAAAAATGGTCAAAATAAAAGGACTCGGCAACTAAGACAGGAAGCCTGTGGTGTACTCAAACAACTGGAGTCAGTTGGCAGCAGATATAATTATGCGCATTAATGGCAAAGATTTATCAATATGGCTTACATGGGGAAGAGACATAAATCAAACTCACATGAATGGACTTCTACACAATGGAAAGTATTTCTGAGAGCAAGGACATATGCAGGTACATATGGGTACCTGTGCCCTAGTCACAACTGTCCTGGCGTGATCACAGATTATACAACTTGCGATAATTGCCAAGGCCTGACTGAGCTCTGGAGTCCGTAATGCTTGCCTCAGCCCAGTGGGTGCATTATTTGTGCTGCCAAATCCGCCCCCCTGCAGCAGTCCGTGTTTTTATGCACGTGCACCCACTGTTACCCAAGCAAACTGGACTGGAACAAGTCAGTTCAGACTATTCCGTGTCTGCCCCTCTGGTGAACTCCGGAAAGGCTTAGCAGACAAAGGAGATTTTTAGACTCATCAAGCTGCGTCTATTTCCAATTACCAAAAACACAATCTGTCTATTCCATGAGATTCTTTTCTCTCCCTTGAGAAGCTATGATGCTCTGTGCAGGGGAACCAAAGACCTGTCATAGCAGGAGGCTAGAAGGTTGGATGCCTTTTATATGCAAAGCTCTTAAAGATTAAGCACAATAAACCTTATTCTCCACAGTGTCTTAGCCTGGGATACCACTATGGTTCTTCATTTTTTCATTGATCTTTCCAACTCCTTATGTCTCACACCCACCAACAACAGTAGCAAAAAAAAAAAAAAAAAAAAAGGCAATCCATCAAACACACACATCTCTTGTCAAAAAGCTCTTGCTGAGAGGACCAAGAGATGGCATTGATCCACAGATAGGCAGGCACTTCTGTTGTGAAAGCCACAGCAATGGAAGGTAGCTGATTACTATGCTTCCTTGGCCCAAGGCTCTAGTATAATTCAGAGTAGCTTTAGATTCCGTTCATGCCTATTTTAGACGTTATCAAAATGTACCTGCTTGTGTTGGCCAATCATTCTCTTCATAATCCTTCTCGGATATTACATTATAAATCAAAAGTTCAATTAATGATATGCAATTAAAACAGCAGATTAAGAAACCCATAGAGAGAGCACCCCCACTAAGGTTAATGAAAATGTTATTTCAACATGAAAACTGCCTTAGAACTTGTTAACAAAATTTTAAACATTAATTGCCTCTATTTTAAGCTATACCTTTAAAAGGTTATTTCTTCTACTTCTTTTTATCATACTTGACAAAACCACAAGTCTGCCACAATTATATAATTCTCTTAAATTAAAAATAAATAATAATTTAAAATATGATGTTTTGAGCATTAGGATTAACTACCACATTTTAAATACTAAGTAATCAGCACTAAATAGCAAACTGATTCAGAAGGGTTGTAAATAAAATTGATGCTCCATAGACCAAGTACTTTGGAAAAAACAAATGTATCAAGAAATAAATGTTAGCAGTTGTATCAAACTACCTCTACATACCTGTGTAAGGTCTGCAGCCTGTTTTAAGATGCTTTTTTTTAATTGTTCTGCTCTCTTTGCATGGAAAGAATTACTTTGACTCTGGATGACAAATACAATTCCTTTTAAATCTAGAACCAAAAAAAAAAAAAAAGTAAAAAGATTTCAGGGATTTGTTTTTTACCAACAACTGAAATAAAAACATTTTTTAAGAACAGCTGCAAGGCAATCCTTTAGGCAATAAATTCTTAAGGGGAAAAAAATCAACTTATATGTAATTCTAGTGACAAAATCTCTCTTTTTAAACTGATCTCCAAAACTTCCTTCCTAGAAAATAATAAGTAAATAAAACTCACTGTACTAGACCAAAATCGTGTTCACAAACTGTGACTTTGCTCCAGCATCTGTCAAAAAGAACAACTGTAAACATGCAAAAGCATGAAAATACATAGAACACTAACCTTCCTAGTAGCCGAAGACACAAGGTTTGCAAGTAGCCTTTTAACAATTCATACACATTGTCCTGCAATGAGGTAGGGATGAATTGTGTCCCCCAAATTTCTCATGTTCAAGTCCTTATCTCCAGCATCTCTGCATGTGACCTTATTTGGACAGGATCTTTACAGAGGTCACCAAATTCAAGTGAGATCATTAGCAGGGGCACTAGGCAAAAGACTTGCGTCCTTATGAAATGAGGAAACATGAACTCAGAGGCACACTCAGAAGATGATGTAAGACACAGGGAGAAGGCCATCCCTAAGCCAAGCAAGGAGAGTAACCTCAAAGGAAATCAGCCCTGCTGACACCATGATCTTAGACTTCCAACATCCAGAACTGTGAGAAAAATTCCTGTTGTTTAAGTCACTCAATTCGAGGCACTTTGTTTCAGTGGCCCGAGCAAAATAATATACAACCTCAAGAATGTTCTGTGCGGCCCTTTAAGGTGACACTCACCAGGACTGCTTATGTCCAAGTTTACATGAACTTATAAATAAATATAATTCAATATTTTGTACTTTAGCTCACAAAGCACAGAGCCAGTATAAGTATTACCTGCGGGAAAACAGAAAATTCCAGAGTGTTAAAAAAAAAGGGGGCTCAGGCCCTCCCTGGTGGCGCAGCGGGTTAAAGCACAGCACTGAGAATCTGAAGCCACTTCGATCCCCGCCTGCCCCAGAGGAGACCACATGGCGAGCCAGACCTCTCCTGACCCGCCCGCTGCTTCCCTCAGCAGTGTACTTCGTCGATCTGCCTGTTCTGCTCCCCACTCTGTCTCTGGTGAAGCCTCTCACCGCCCCTGAGCCTCTGGCCTGTACCCCAGTTCTGTATGAATAAATAAATAAAAATCTAAAAAAAAAAAAAGGGGGGCTCTTCAACACTGGCTGTCTGTCATCCAAAGAATCACTTCAAGGCAGTCAGCAAGGCTAAGAGGAAACCCTCGCCTACTTATGTCATTTCTACCTGACCAGAGAATACGAAGAGTCTTTTCAGCAGAGAGAGCTTCCAAGCCCCCACACCAGAGAAGCATGTAAGGCCTCCCCAGATACTGAACTTATAATAAATAAATAACAGCCATTGTGGCGGCACTCAGCCACCAGACAGGGTGTTAGCAAGAGGCAGATGTCACACAAATTGCAGCTGCTTCCAGCCATGCTTCCAACAGATGAATGTGGGGCCTGTGCCCACCAGTGCCTTTTCTGTTAACACCATGACTCAGGAACACAAACCTGACCTCAGTTTTATTCTGCTATATTGCACATGCTCATGTTCAGGTCCACAGTTCCATTCATTTATCCATGCACTCAAATATTCATGCGACAAATAGCTCCAGAAGGAGTCATCTTGATACTAAAAATAACCCAAAATGCTCTTTGGTTAAAACTCAATAAAATTTTTAAAAGGAAATGCTGAACAACCTACTAAATATGACCTAATTCCTTTTCTGTAGGAGGATACACAAATAGGAACACACTATATACCCATCTTATTTTAAATCAGTTCCTTCACTCTATATAAATCAAGCATACAGATAAGGCTTAAAAAGATGTCATATATTTCAACTGAAATGTAATCTCTGACCTGCTACACTTAAAATACTAAAATAAAGTGACACAGAACGAGTTGTGAAGATTTAAGTTTACATTGGAGTAAATAAACTTGAAAAAAATGATTTTTTGCAAAGTTCAATAAAGTCGAAGATGCACATTCCCAACAACCCAGAATTCCTATTAATCATCCTGAAGAGAACCTCATGTGTGGACAAGAACACATTCAAGCGTGCTCGCAGCAGAATCATGTAATAATAGGAACAAACTGAAAGCAACCAAATACGTATCCATGAATAAGATACATAAATGGGAAGATTACAGCCAACAAAAATTAGCTGGCAATGCACATATCAATCCAGATGGATATTGTAGATGAATACAATAAACAGAATGCTGCCAAGGAATAGCTATATAAATCAATGGTTTTTAAGAACAGGAACAAGCAAGCATAAAAATGGATAAGCACTATATAGCTACATAAAAATACATGTATCTGTAAATGTATATATGTGAAAGTATAAAAGATTACATGAGAATGATAAATACCAAGTCAAGAAAATGGTGTAAAAAGCTGTGTTACATTATAACTTGGGGCAGGGAGAGGGAGTTTCTCTTATGGAAGAATTTTAGTAGTAAATGAAGAAGGGATAATCAGATTAGAACCTCACCAGTTTATAACTCTGGATGAATTTGGGTAGTGAGCACTCATGGCTGTTCATAGCTCAAAAACAGACCACACACAATGTGTGTCTCCTGAAAGGAAACTGTGAAGTATCTTGCCAACATCACTGAACCAGAGTCAAGCCTCCAATTTTCAAGAAATACAGGGAATGGAGCAACTTATTATATGTCACCACAGAGATGCAATCAATCAAATCTAGGTCATGAAAAATTCTACAGGTGAGCTACCTACTTTCTTCAACACATAAACTGCTAGAAATTTTAAAAGAGAGACTGAAGAGGAACCTACTGATTAAAGGATACATATCAACCAGTGGGAACCAATTTCGATCTTGATTAAAATGAATCAGCTCTAAGATAAATTTGAAGCAATTTGAGAAATCTGAATCCTGACTATAAATATTAAGAAATGTGTTAAACTGAAGATGTGAAATGGTAACACGGTTATATTATGAAGAGAAATCTTTATCTTCTTTTGAATAAACACTGAAATGCATCTGGGTAAAATTGTTCAACATCTAGGATTTGCTCCAAAATAATCTGAGGAGGGAAAAAGAATATTGACATTGACCATTGCTGAATAGTCAACACGTGGCAAGTGTGGGTCCACAATATTTATTATCCTGATTTTGGATATGTTTGAAATATTCTAAAATTTAAAAAACCTCCCAGCCCCACCCTTCCCCCCAAGAAGAAACTGTCAGTAATGCTTTATTAAGCATTAAGTTAGGTGGTAAATAAATGGATGCTTATTCTATTGTCCTTTGTGGCAATAACTCACGATAAAATTTTGAAAAGAGCAAACTCATCTGTCAAAAGGTTAATTCTGCACTCACCACAGTAAGCAAAAGTGCCCATTGTTCTGACAAAGACAATAGATCTTCCATGCAGAGAAGAGGCTATGTAAGAAGAAAAATGCAAATTCTTTCCCCTTTGGTATTCCTGAGTCATGTGCTGCAAGTTGTATTTGTTTCTTCTCTTTTTAACATACCTTCCTGCTACCCAGGGTGTTTCAATCACACCTTCAATCACTCAGCAAACATCACTAAGCCCCTATCAAGTGCAAGGCTCTGGGACAGGAAGATGAAGGAGCACAGGCCAGTGCCAGTGTCTGCGTCTGCCTCAGAGGCCAATACAACCCAAAGCCTGATCTGAGCATGGAAAACCACGGAACACAAAGGAGGGAGACGTGTGCAAAGAGAACCTCTGGGAGGAGGTGTTTTGGAGTTTCCTTTTAAAAGCAGCAATTTTCTGCAGTCAAGCCAGAAGGTAGCAGATCTCTGGCAGGGAAAGAAATGGGGTTATCACAGTGCCCAGTCAGCCTTATCTCTGCAGTATCCTTGAGAGGATGAGCAGAGTTTGCAGGCATTTCTGAGAAAAGGATCAAGGGCACAGTCAGTTATAAAGTTAGAGAGGGAGGGTGGGCAGCCAAATCTGATTGTGAATTTCCATGCCAGGCTTAGAGGCTGGGGCAGATTAACAGCTTTCAAACTGTGGAAGGGCTCAGGACTCATCTGAGGCCCCAGAGAAGAGAGGATCATGGAGCCTTCACAGTAGAAGGGGTGAGATTACTTGTACTGGGGACATCCAGAGAGAGCAATAGAAGTTCATGACAGCAAGCATAATTTAGGACCCTACCAGTCAGGTAGGACTAAAGAACACAGCATGGGATGGGGGAGCTAGCAGAGATGAGGCTGAAGATGAGGGGCTTACCAGTTTCTACAACCTGGTAATAGTCGATGACAGGAAATCATTTATACCTCACCCAGTACCACCCCCCATTTCAAAAATGAACCAGGTTGGTAGAGTCTGGTGCTACAGAGAGCTCTCATGTTTAAATTCCTGCTGTTCTTTATACCAGCACCAAGAAATATTTTCTGACATACATCCTAAGTAATTTCTAACTAAATCATATTCTGGCTGAGTCAATATCCTGGGGCTTGTCATGGTAACTGTCTCCCCTGTTTATGTCATCCAACCATTTGACTCTTGAGCTCACTTCCAGTCAATGGAGCTAAATGAGAGAATTCCACTATGTCCTTCCTTATCACTTCGGTTGCACTCCTCTAACTCACTGCAATTTGCCGTCAGCAAGTCCTGTCACAACTCAAGACAGATGGTCACTGTTTTTCCTCCAGGAACGGGCAAGAAATGGTCATACACTAAGTGCCTTAACAATGATGAGCATAACAGGATAGGAAGGGAAGATAAAGAAATGAGCCCAGGAGACAGCAAGGACCAATGCAGTTCTGAAGCCAGGAGCAAGCAGCAGAGAGCGTTAGAACCAGAAAAGCAACAGAACCAAAGAGACAGCAGGAAAGGATTCCTGCAGGAGAAATGCTTCTTCTTTGAAGGTGAAAGAAATGAAAGGCTTTCTATTTCTTCAGTTGCTGAGTACCCACCATTTGCCAACCCTTCACCCTACTAAGCACTAATCTTTCCTGGAGAGAAATTACCTAGAAATGAGAATTTCATCATGCCGGTATTTTTCTGTGATGTTCTACTAAAAGCTGAATAACAAGTAGCCTTAAGCTTTAAGTCTGAGGGATAAATATGCATGCAAATAGGTATATCATGATTTACTTGGTAAGAAGAGCTAGCACTGAGCTGAAGGGGGAAAGGGCTGGCCTGCCCTCTAAGCCCATCACTCGGCCCTGAGACCAGTTGCTAAAGGTTGACCCCACTGGGGCAGCTACTCAGTAGCCAGCTGTTCGTAGAGACTCATAATTTTGGCCAATAAGCCCCCCGGGTTCTTTCTGAGATGAATTAATATCAAGCTAAGTATCACGAAGATATGAACTTACTTGTCCAAGGTAAACTTCTCCTGGGTACTTTCAAGCCCATTTTCCAGACTGAGGTCATTTGTTCATTAAATATTTACTGCAAGACCTATCAATTCCCCTTAAATAAGCACGGGAGTTCCCAAACTCACCAGGGTTGGGAGCAGAGAGAAAACCTCCACAAGAACATTTTAATGTGGAGAAGAAAGAGCAGTGAGCCAACATGGCTCCTCAAGGCTGCTCTCAGAGCCTACAGACCCAATCCATGCCCTATGCCTAACTTTTCATGCTACAGACACCCCCACCAGCTTCAGCACAAGGCCCTACCATCCAGGGGGGCATACTCCTCAGAATCCAAGTCTAAGAAAGGAAAACCCAAAAAGAAAAGTGTCCCTTCTTGCTCCAATCCATGTCCCACTTTCTAGGTCACGGTGGTCCACCTAGGATAACTGATCAAGTTCACAGACCCCTCCCATTAACCCAGAAATATGGCCTTCCTGTCCAATCAACAAGCTGGGGGGAATGTTGTCAATGGAATACCAAAAAGTCACATCTCTGATACATATGAGGAAAGAAAAATGTGTTTAAGGGTAAAATGCAACAGTACCTTAACACTTGCTAGATCGGATGCTACCTGACTCATAAATTATTTCATAAAGTCAATTACGTCTCTAAAAAATAAATAAATAAAAGTGAGTAGCAATAAGAATGTAGTGGATGTGGTACAGTGTCTGTAAGGCAGAAAAAAGCTGTGCCCACACTAAGGAAATAGTAATATTTTGACAGAGGATGCCCTGAAGGGCAAGTGGTGACTGGGGGTGGAGAAGAAGGGGCCGGGAGCTGGCTCTAGGCAAAAGGGGGTACAAACAAAGTCATAGCTTGCCCTTTGTTCCCAATAAATGTGGGCCTTTCCTAACAGAGACCATGTCTCATCCCTGTAGCCTGGATAGTACCTACCTGGTCTGGCAATCTGCCCTTACTGGAAACTCAAGAAATAGTGGCTGAGGCAATTCAATCCAATTATTACTTCAACATTTAATGTATGTGAATATGTTAACCTGAAAAGCTTTCTCCCCATGTCTTTATGAGGGAGAATGGGTCTAAACACTGGGTGAGGCCAAAGCAAAAGCAACTAAACATTTGCCCCACAGATAAAATCTGAAAAAAATTCACCACACTGACATAATTTACAAGAATTATACCTCAGTACAAATTCTTAAGTTTGAAAAAATTACTTACCAATGTCATTTTTCCTTGATATACCAGTTTTCTCCAAATTCTGTATTTAAATAAAAGAAAAAAAAGTGATAAGCTTCATCACATAACAAAGCTAGTAATATACTAAATAAGTATGGATTGTTAACACCAAGCAGGGGGGAGACACTGAAGAGAAATTAGAAAGGCCTCCCTAGGGCCCTCCCTGGTGGCACAGCAGGTAAACACAGCACTGAGAAGCTAAAACCACTTTCACATGAGTTCAACCCCTGCCACGGAGGTGACCACATGGCATGGCAGACCTCTCCTGACCTGCCAGCTGCTCCCCTCAGCAGTGTACTTTGACAGCAGCTCTCTGGTGAATCCTCTCACCCCCCTGCACCTCTAGCCTGTACCCAGTTCTGAATACATAAATAAATCTTTAAAAAAAAAAAATGACACCCCTAAAGAACAGAACAAAACACACAGGGTGATAATAAGGTGATGACGTTCCTCCATGTTCCTCCTATGGAGACAACCATCCCGCCCCTTCCCTACATAACCTTGAGCAAGTCAATAAAATGAGCTGAGGCTCTTTCCTCCTGTATAAACTGGAGCTAAGACTGACTTGTCTATACAGTTCTTGGGAGGGTTACTATCTTTTTTCAATTGTTTTTTTTTTTTTTTAATTGACATGCTGTCTCCTCCATGAGAAGCTGCACTGAGGGCTAGTCAGGACCCTGAAGGTGATCAGCCTGTGAGCACAGAAGGGGAGCTCAGGGCCCCAGGACTCCAGGCACAGACATCCAGTCCCCAGCACAGAAATGCCCGCCCTTGTTCCCAGTAAATCAGGGGAAGGGCTCGCAAAGATTTCTCTGACAAAGTGCAAAGTGTCAGCAGCTAAATCTACCATTTTCATTGTCTTCTCTGGCAGACAAGGAAGGAATTTTCTCGCTAATTGCCCTTTTCCGCTTTCAACAACCATATGCTATAATTATGACAATTGGACGGTGGCAAATATCCTTCAATTTTCTTCGCAGACTGCAGCAAGAAATGCAGACTGAACCTTTAACAAAATCAGAAAGCACTTAAAAGCCAAAACACAGCTACACTTAGACTGACAAAAGGACTGGGACAACAGAGAGAAAGGGAGAGCAAAAAAGCATAAGTGAGCATCTATCTCTGGGAGCATTTTCTAAAATTTTCTTTGCTAAGTAGAGAAGAAACCCATAATTATTGTGGATTTGTTATACTTCAAGATCAAGTGACAGTTCACGTAATTCTGATAAAACACATCCTTTTGAGAAGAGCCCACTAAAAAAAAGGGGGGGGGCAAGTTCAACCCACTTCCCTGAATGTGCTGAACCAAAGCCACGTTATCACCTTGAGGTGGCATCCTTCTTCAAATAACACTGCTGGCCAGGAGAACAACCTGCTCCCAGGAAGGAGCGCCAGCCTGGGAGCATCAGGGCTGCTGTTGACAGTGCACTGTTAACCTGCCACGCACCCTTGGCCAAGCCATCTCCTCCTTAGGCGGTCACAGCTTTGTCTGCCTGACAAGGATCGTAGAAAATTAAAAATTTTTAGTATTTTCTATCTAAAATAAAGCATTGGAATGAATACAGAAGATGCAGCATGTACCTACAAGGGAATATTATTCAGCATAAAAAGACAGGACATTCTGACACATGGTACAATGTGGATGAATCTTTTTGCATTACACTAAGTAAAATAAGCCAGACCCCCCCCACCCCCCCAAAAAAATACTGGCATTGGTTATTAAAGAAAAATTACAATAAAAAATAAGATAAAATACTGAATGATTCCTCTTATATGAAGTTTCTACAGTAGTCAAATTCACAGGCAGAAAGGAGAAGAGTGATTGTCAGGGGCTGCTGGAAAGGGACACAGGAGTTATTTAATGGGGACAGAAGTTTCAATTTTGTAAAACGTGAAAATCCTGGAGACTGCTTGCACAAAATGGATATACTTAGTGATACCTAGCGGCACACTTAGAAATGGCTAACACGAAAATTTTTATGTATGTGTATTTCGTCATATTAAAACCAAAACTGAACTCGGCCCTCCCTGGTGGCGCAGCGGGTTAAAGCGCAGCACTGAGAATCTGAAGCCACTTCCGCATGAGTTCGATTCCCGCCTG